ACTAGGGGCTCCTGGCCTTACTACTAGGAGCAAGAAGCTACTAGGGGTCCTGGCATCGCTACTAGGAGCAAGGAAGCTACTAGGGGCTCCTGGCCGTACCACTAGGAGCAAGAAGCTACTAGTAGCTCCTTGACATGCTTTCGTTCTCTTTTATAGGAGTGGGTACCCCCTATAGGAGTGGGTACCCCCCAACACCCCTGGGCCCTTTCACCGCCCACTCCGCTTAACCCGGTTCTGAGGAGATATCGACAAGTGGCCAATGGCCTGAGAATGAAGAGGATGCAGATGAAGAATCTTTGGCCAAAAGCCAGCTGATATGCTTAATGGGAGTGGGGCTGCCTGTGTTAGATAGCCAATTCGCACTTGGCAAAGGAGCCTGAGCTTGGTGGCATGCCTTTGTATCTATGGGCGCTGCAAATCGCCTTTCCACATCCAGACGCGGATGGGAATAATTCTGCCCTCAAGGACACACATTTCGATTCAAGACGGTTTGAACACTGGGCGGTGATGGACATGGATGCAGTCTCAAGCTTCTTGCTAGGGCCACGTAGCTGCTGAGATTCCAGAGCCCACGATGTTCCTGGGATTCTTTAGCAGTTTTCTTCATTTCCGGTGTATGATGGTGTTTGTCATGTCCGTTTCCACCAAGCTGAATCTTTTGTTCAAATCCTGACCAACCATGCGAAGGTTTGAAGATTTTCGGGCGAAGCTGAAATGGACTATTCCAGAAGCATCGGATGAAACAAAAGCGGTTGATGAAGCTTATGGCTGGATGCATCAATCTCCAATGAACATTGGTGATCATGCTGAATCATGCTCCTCAAAGCTTTCCTCCGCACAGGTACCGGCGGTGGCTTTAATGCACTGTGGGTATGCAGTGCTTTATCTCCATTTTTTTCTGACACAGGCAGGCCCTGTGTATTTATTTTGGACACATGACGGAACTTGTGACGGATCAGCAGCGCCTTCTGCAGTTATATAAGTTGGCATCAGTTGGCTCAAGAACAGCAAGGTGTTTTAAGCATGGTGGCTCAGAGCAGTGTTGGGCGGGTGTGGTTCAGAGGTTTAAAGTCGCAGTAGACATCAAGCATCGCTTGAGGTTGAGAAGATTGTTGTTTTCGCACAGAATTACCTATACTATATATTTTATATACTTACTGTACGGTAAATATCACATTATATAGTATATAAATGCAAAGTTCAGTTCAGATGTTAGTTGACTGCACGCGTGCGCGCTTTACGCACAACCCTGCTGTTTCACTTGATCCATACTGGAGCTATGTTGGTGGTTTGATCTTGCCATTTGCACCAGCTGCTTGCAGGGGGCCCAGAAACCATGTGAGTGGGAAAAAAACGCAAGATGTGCATATGTAGTGGGCGATCCCAGGGGTCAGAATTAGCTGCACCGCCGCAACTATTTCTGTTGGCTAACTGAGTTTGAAAGTGATGCATTTAGCTTGGAAAGGACATTCCGAACGACATCTAAACGACATACTCAGTCTATATAGATATAGAATGAGATAGACATTCCATATACTGTATATGTTATTATGAAAGCCAGCCGATAGGCTAGGCTGGAGTTGTCGATGGGCGAACGAAGTGAGTATTAGGGGGTG